CACAATCGAACATATAGATCCAGAAACACGCGCTCAGGCAATCAACAGCTCAGGCTCAAGCTATAGGCAAAATTCCGGCCTCAAGTCTTCTAGACTGGCCCAACATCAACACACAGAGATCATATCTCGCCCCTCGATCAGGGGATCACAAGCCATCGATGCACATCTGGTACTGAGCGCTCATGCACGCATACGAATGCGTGGAAGGAATTCAAAGAGTTACATTTCAAGCTGAATCAAGGACACACGATAAGAATTCAAGAAGGTGAAATTTCCTAAAGGTTCTGCAGCCTCCCGAGGATAAGTACAAACGTCTCCGCACCGATCCACGAGACTCTACTAAACCTGCTCATGACTCGTGAGACCTATGTAACCTAGGCTCTGATACCAACTTGTCACGACCCTAAACCCAGACCTGGTCGTGATGGCGCCTCTCGTGAAGACAAGGCCAGCCGACACAAACCCCAAGTTCAATTAACAGATATAATGATTCATAATCAAGCCATTAATAATGATAAATCCCAAAATAAAGCAAAATATATCAACTGCGAAAACAAAACACAGCCCGACATCGGGGTGTCACAAGTCAAGAGCATCTACGAAGGTCTGAACACAGCTAAGAGTCTAAAAATTTACTAAATACAGTCTAAGGAAGACAAGAGGGAGAAAAGCAGTGCTGCGAATGCCGGGCAGCTACCTTGCTTATCCGATGACTCTTCCACTGAGCAACCAACACCCGCTACCGGGTTCAAAATAAAACCTGAATATGCACACAAGGTGTAGGGAGTAATGTGAGTACGCCAACTCAGTAAGTAATAAAACTAAATGAAAGCTGAGGAGTAAGAAAATATGTAAGCCACGTCATAACGCTACAGCAAATACAGTACATTTAAAAAAAATAGTACAGAAATCATTAACTCCGTAAATCATGCTTAATTTCAGTAAAAACCTTTTTAAACAACTTTCAATAGTTTCAAAACGAGTGATAAAAACAGTGAGTAAAAATGATAGAAACGTAAAAAGCCCCTCAGGCAAAACATGTACCATAAATCGCCCCTCGGCATAATATCAATAGAACCAGCCCCTCGGGCTACCTCACTATCACTCGTAATCAGCCCCCGCCCCTCAGGCAACATAGATCAAGAATAGCCCCTCGGGCTTCAATATGAAACAACAACAGCCCCTCGGGCTACAACACATCACACACACTGGGTATCTGCGCTCACTGGGGGTGTACAGACTCCGGGAGGGGCCCCTTACGACCCAAGCGCAATAACAAGCCATGTCGTGGCATAATCAAACAGGCTCTCGACCTCATATCAATCACAAGCCACCTCGTGGCGTAATAAACTAGGCCCTCAACCTCTCATATATCGCAAATCAGTACCACATGCTGCGGCGTGCAGCCCGATCCCATAACATCCTCACAACACAGGCCCTCGGCCTTACTCAGTCAAAACTCACTCAAGCCCCTTGGGCTGCCAGTAAAACAAGTACTTGGCTAAAAATATCATTTTCGAAATCAAGAGGAGTGAATAAAATCGAGTTATGAAAATAGTAAGAACATAGCAAGACTGAGTGTAAATATCAAACCAAAAACAGTGAGGAAATCAGTAATAAAAGCCCCTAAGGGTCCAAACAATTGGCACAAGGCCCAGACATGGCATTTAGCCCCAAACACAATAATACTTTCCAAAATATAATAATATCAAAAAGTTTCCAAGTAAATACGCGACTTAATAGTCGTACGGGATGGACCAAGTCACGATCCCCAGTGTTGCACGACCCCACGCTCGTCATCTAGCGTGTGCGTCACCTCAAAGTAGCACAACGATGTGAAATCCGGGATTTTATACCCTCAGAACAGTATTTACAATCATTACTTACCTCAATCCAGTCCAAACTCTAGCCCGCGATGCCTTTGCCTCTCGAACCGGATTCCATTTGCTTCAAATCTATCGAAAATCAGATTCATACAATCAAAATTTTCTAAGGGAACAAAGCCCACTCGAAAATATCCAATTTACACCAAAAATCCCGAAATTGGCCAAACCCGTCCCCCGGGCCCACGTCTCGGATTCCGATAAAATTGACAAAACTGGAATATTACACTTTCACGAGTTCATACATATCAAGAACATCAAAATCGGACCTCAAATAGCCCTTCAAATTCCCAATTAACACTCTCCAATTTCAAGCCCTAATTTCCCAATTTTAGGCTTTAAATTCCACAAATTTCATGTTTAAACAAGTAAGAATCAACATAGGATCGAGTATTAAGTCCGAAATTCTTACCTCCAAGAAGTTCTCTTTGATTCCCTCTTCAATCTCCCTCAACAAGCTCCAAAACCGAGTCAAAAATGGAAGAAATAGACCAAAAATCGCGAAACCCACTTTTAAACATTCTGCCCCATATATTATTTCCTTCTTCGCGAACGCGGCCTCACACTCGCGTCCGCGTAGCACAATATACACTGCCTCGCCACTATATCCTTCGCGAGCGCGAACGCAGCCACGCGAACGCGATGCTTCGCCAGCCAGCTACTACGCGAACGCGATACCAGTCTCGCGAACGCATAGCACAAGGGCCTGCGGTGCCCAACGACCTCACTCCTCTTCGCGAACGCGACCCCAATCACGCGTCCGCGATGCACATGTTGCCTTCACCTCCGCGTTCGCGTCCTCCCCTTCGTGAACGCGTAGAACAAAATCATCATCACACAAAACACCCTTCCCGAACGCGATGCGCTCTCCGCGAACGCGATGAACAAAATTCTCTGCAACAAAAACCAGCAAAACTTCCAAGTCCAAAGTCCAAAATCGACCGGTTTAACCACCGAAACTCACCTGAGGCCCTCGGGACCTCAACCAACCATGCCAACATATCCCATAACATCATTCAAACTTGTTCCAACTTTCGGAATGCTCAAAACAACATCAAAACACCAAATTCACATCGGATTCAAGCCTAGGAATTCCAAAAACTTCCACATTTCGCTTTCGATCAAAAAGTCTATCAAACCTCGTCCGAATGACCTGAAATTTTGCACACACATCAAAAATGACACAACGGACCTACTCCAACTTCCGGAATTCCATTCCTACCCCTATATCAAAATCTCACCTATCAATCAGAAATCTCCAAAATTCAGATTTCGCCAATTCAAGCCTAAATCTACTCGGGACCTCCAAAACACATTCCGATCAAGGTCCTAAGTCCCATATCATATAACGGAGCTAGAAAAATCATAAAAATTCCAATCCGAGATCATATACCAACAAGTCAAAACTTGGTCAAATCTTTCAAACTTTAAGCTTCAAGCTGAGAATCATCCTTCCATATCTATTCCGATTACACTGAAAACCAAAACTGACGATTTACATAAGTCATAATACATAATACGAGGCTAGTCATGCCCCAGATTTGGCGAGCGAAGTGGAAAATCTCAAAATGACCGGTCGGGTCATTACAGACTTCCTTCTTGAGACTTTTCTGTGTAATGATTTGGTTGTGTATTTACTTTGGGACTACGGAACGGTATTCCGGGAGACCCCCTGCATATTTATATTTGGGACTACGGGACGATATCCCAAGATATCCCCCTGTACTGGATATATATTTTGGGACTATGGATCGATATGCCGGGAGATCCCCCTGCACATTTACGATTTGGACTACGGGACGGTATCCCGAGAGATCCTCTGCACATTTACGTTTGGGACTACGAAACTTTATCTTGTGAGATCCCCGGTTGTTATCTCTGTTTACTGAGTTATTTCTTTCTATGATTTCTTCTTTATTGACTGTTAGCATCTTTAATTATACTGTCACATTTCATACTGTTTTACCTTGTTATATATATATTGTGATGACCCAAAAAGTCATCACTTGTTTTAGAAACAAATTCAGCATTCCAAGGCCTAAAAACCTCTTTTTACCTCACCTCGATTTGCGTACGCAGTCCGGGCGCGCAGTCGGAAAGCCCTTATATGAAAATCTGTGAAAAATAATAATTTTGACTTTAAAATAAATTTAAGTTGACTTCGGTCTACATTTTGGGTAAACGGACCCGGACCCGGACCCGCGATTTGACGGTTTCCGGTACGGGTCCGGTACGCGAAAACTAAATAGGGACGTTGGGTCGGTAGT